ATATTATCTGAAAAATTAAATTTAGAAGATTACAAATTTTTGACATATGTTATACAAATTTTATGATTATCTATATAAAAAAAAATGAGTTTTTTTCCCATTTATTCTTTAATAAATAAATAAATATATATATATATATCTTGTTGTACAGAAAATATTTCTTATAAACCGAAAACCAAAACGCGCGATTTTCGTCTCGCGTTCGCAAATGTGTTTGCAATTTTCAACGACGTACCGTCGGCCTGACGTCGCGCGTGTCGTCGTTACGGCGGTCGGCGGTGTGAAAATGGCCTGCGTGCCAGAAAGTCGCGGGTAAGTTAAACAGCGGCCGAGGTAGCGAGGCATCGTAAAGCGTCGCGGCGCCTTCGTGTTTACGCGGCGACGTCGAGGCCCACCAACCGCGTCCGGTCCCCGCGCGTTCCTCATCTCCCTCACATCCTGGCGTCGCGGTTGATCGGTACCCTCGCGCCCCACGCTTCCTGCCATCGACGCCCGCGGTCCGCGTCCGCGGGCTCTCTCGCTCATTCCGCGTCTATTTTCGCGCGCGTGACAAATCTGTATGCCCGCTGGATTTATCGAGCGACATTCTGGCCCGCGCGCCCATCGTGCCCATATGGCAGAGCCCCGGCGGCTATTTCCGTCGTCCGGTGCACTTTGCGCTCGCGCCTTCGGCAAGTGTTCCTACCTATCGACAAGATAATCGACGGACGAGAATCTGGATTAACCGGTAAACTATTAATGTGCAACTTATAAATAGCGCTAATGCGTGTTCAAACTCATAGTATCGTTAGAGTTATTTTTCTCCTAGTTGTCATTCTAATATATCGACGGAATTTTATAATTATATAAAGCAAAATCTATAGAAAAAGAAACACTTGATAGAATTCGAATACTCATATTCATGCAAATATTATAATCATCAAAAAAATTATTATAAAAAAAAAACCAATTTTTTGCAAGTGCAGTTATCTATAATTTTCTTTAATAAAAAGATATTATTTATTTAATATACCTATACAACGGATGTTTAGTAACATAAAATATACATATAAATTCTTAAAAAATACTTTCAAAATATGATATTTCGTCTGTTTCTCAAATGCAGCGCCATATCGGCGAACCCTCCGCGTGCAAAATAACAAAGCGAGCTATCTCCAGCCTTCGGCGCGTTAATGGATCTGCGTAGCGATTCCGAAGGTAGGAGCGAGTTTTCGCGCGCGTGGAACACGACGATGATGAAACAATGATGCGGCGCAGCAGGACCGATGGGTCACCCCCGAAGGAATTTTAAAGAGTTCCAGGAGGACGATCTCGTCATCCTCCTTTCGGCCGCCAAAACCGGACCATGATTTACGAGCGTATATTCCGTCGCCGGAATTTGTCAGTCAATCGTATCTCGGCGCTGCTTATACGTGTTCTCTCGCCCATCCGATATCGATCTTCTTTTTACCGACATATATATATATATATATGTGTGTGTGCGATTGTATACAACACATGGATGTATTGAAACCCTGGCGAGAGACGAGCGAGAGTTAGCGTGAACGATCGCGGTCTTTCGTTCCCTTCGCGCTGAGAAAAAGTAAGTCTTAATAAAGTCGGGACGAGATAAATTGGTACATTAGCATCTCGTGATTCATGGTGACGTTTTCTAGGTGGCAGAGAAGGAAGGGTGCATGTATAGGGGACGGCTATGATATATCGCCATTAGCATCGGTTTCATATTAGAACAAATAGGCCCGTGTTTTAACGCTCTTAATGGGACGTAATGTACCCCACGACAAAATATTCTAAACTTTATCCCCGCTTAAAGTACGCGATGGAGTCATATAACCGTTAATGAAATGTATCCGCATTATGTTTAAGACAGTGGTAATATACATGTAAGTCTGACTTATTATAATATTAATGTATATTAGACAAAAAATTTATTAATTAAAAAAGTAGAAAAAGTAGAATGCCGTAAATATGAAACATTAATTTTGTATCTAACATTACGGACAAAATATTATTGATTATTCTCGTTTTAAAATGATTATATTATGCATAATCAAAATTGAAAAATTGAAATTATACAAAACTAATGGAATCTACAATTTTCACGATAGATAAAGATACAGATCATTAAAAGATTCATCCAATCTTGTTACACGTTATAATCAGAATCTGAATCATTATAATAAGCGTGCGGATAAATAATTGCAAGTGCGTGTTTCACGGAACGGGGAGAGTAAATCATCCCCCGTCGCCCGAGTACAGAGCTCGGTCACAGGCTGATGCGAAACAAAGACTGCGACGGGGGGCGAGTATAACCCCCGCTCGTTCACGGTCGCCGTAATTCACATAGAGGGAGAGGGACAGGGAAAGAAGATAAATCTAGGAAAAGAGAGAGAAAGAGAAAGAAAGTGTTTGGTGGCGCGTTTATTAACGGCGGCGCGCGTCACTCCGGGCTACGCCTTTTTAATGATTTATCGTGCACGCGCCGAGACGCGCGTATATCCCTTTTGCGGGCCAAAGTTCGACGTCTTCCTCTGAGGGCCCTGCGGGGCCCTTTCCTTCACCTTCCGCCAGCTGCCGATCGTGAGAGGTGCAGATGGAGGCGCAGATGTTGCGTTTCAACCCTGTCACCGTTCTTAACTGCATAGTTCCTCCTCTCGAGAGAGCTTGTCGAGAGGGCTTGCTGATCTTCTCGAGGACTTCCTCCTTTCGGCAATCGTGAAATTTTGTATAGCGACGATTTTATCCATCAGTTTTAGTATGGACCATAAAATCAACTATTCTCCTACAATATTAAGATGCGAAGAAATATTGTAGGAACAAGGCAAACAAGATTAGATAAATCGCGAGCAATTAATAATAATTATACGTCAAGTTTGATTTCCCGACAATCGCATAAAAAAAGTCTCCACCTGAGATTAAATAATCGAGAATTAATCAACGAAAATGAAATGATGCCACTTTTTTTTAGCGTGAGTATATGTCACGACATATGGTATTAATCGCTTCTGTCAACATGCTTAGCGAATGATTATAGCAGTTTTTAGCGTGGTTGAAATGAGTCTCGATATATCGAATCGAGTATAATAATATATCATAACTTATTATCAACCGATTATAATCGATGGCTTTATGACTCCGTGACTTCGCCACGATATTCGCGGCAACCAGCTAAAATGACATACGATGAAGTGCGGTGAAACACGTTTAATTAGACTAGATTGTGGACGACCGGGATGGCGAGAGCGTAGATGATCGGTTCGCGCAGGCACGTAAAGTATTGAAGGCGAACTTCGGAAAATTCTGCCTCGCCGAGAAAGACGTACGCTATAAATTGATATCCCGTATATTATACCAGGAAGGGCGCGTACGGGATTTAGAGTACGCGCGTATCCTCTTATCGTCGAGGTTACGCCGCGGCGGAAAGAAGGTCCCTACATATACGTTTGTACTCAACATCGAGGCTTTAATCACGTAACTGTACCTCGCCCGTTTTAACCCTTCATTACACGCGCATCTACTTGCCGCAATTTTTATGAAGGAACCAACCGTCCGTTCTCGCGTATCGTCGTGGATATATATATCGTACGTAAAACGCGCGGCTTATATTAATCCGCGTGTAATGGTCTCGCAAGATTATTCTTCGATCGTTCCCAATGCTGATGGCGCGTGTGCTTCATTGCAACCTGAGATAAACTTAGAAAATTGATTTTTTACAAGAAAGATAATGTGTGAGCAAAATGATCTTTTCAGATGATAAATAATATATTTCCCTTATTGAAAAAAGAGAGAGAGAGAGAGATGGGGGGGGGGAAATTATATCGTTTAAATTTGTTTAAATATGATTTTATATATAAATGATCCTTACATCTCTCGAGCGTGACGGACTTTGATTCCGCGAGAGGTTCACGTATATGATACATATCTCGCAAATATTGGCGGCCCAAGAAGCTATCTTGTCGAGCTCCAGGGATTTCCGGGCAAGGACGAAAGGATCATTAGCGTCGGACTCGGGTTCATCGCTCATACGCGAGTTTCCGATGAAAACTGCATGGAGAGACGCGCGAGCCCTCAAAAAAAGACAGACACGTCCTGTCGATATAAATAAAGTATCGAAGGGATAGACACACTTCGGTTCCATCCGACACAACGATGAGCCAAATGAAAAATGCCGAGACGGCCGATCAATGTAAATATATTCATGACATGGGGTGGCCGAGAGCGGTCACAGGGATGCCGGGATATATATACGCATGTATGGCGGGGTTTTATAGGATGGGGTTCGCCGAGGACTCGATGGCACTTGGACGGCACATAATTCACTCTTTGGCAGCTCATTACAATTTAAAAAGGCCTTTGTCAGCGCACTACTCGTGATTTCGTTCATGGCGCGCGTTGAACGATGCCTCGTACAATGTACGGTGGCATTGCCAACAATGCTCTAGTCCGTTTGACATGTGTTAAGTATTTAAGCGGAATCAAATACGTAAGTTGAATCTGGTCACGGAAATAAAAAGGACGTGTACTGCTAAGTACATAAGTATGATTAAATCGAATAAGTATATTAAGATATAAATAATAAAATATTTAATTACTTAATTAATTTGAAAATTTTGGGTAACGACCATGTCAAAAAAAGAAAATAATATTATACTTGAGATTATATTAATTTCGGTATGGATTCTTTAAAACGTAATGTTCATTGATCATAACAATAATTCTATCGTTGCACTCGATCACTTTTTTACCGCTGAGAACATACATGATAAATTATTATTCTAATCACTGACGGATCGATAATGATGAATCTTTTTTGTACCGTTTTCTCTTCGCGAAACCGATTTGAAACAAAGAGTGGCGATAAGCCTTTCTGTTCTGACTGTTTATTTCTAATTTAAGTCGTTCATATTATTATATCGAAAGAAAAACGATTATATTTGTAGTTCCAAAACCCATTAAGAGTTACATACTCGACTCGCTGTAAAAATATATACCAAACACCGTTACTCCATAATCTGCGAGCAACCGATAAGTACGTCCGTGCGCTCGAATATCTCCATAATTATGCAGTTTGCGTCTGATACATTAACGTATTACGTTAATAATTCTAATCCAATCTTTGAACCCAGGAATCCGCGAAAACAATTATCATTTCGTCGCTCACGTCATGCGTCTTTTTGCGCAACGAAATACGCGCGGAAGATTGCGACACCTTTTGTTCCAGCGTAATACACAGAGTCCGCGGGCAGAGAGTACGAAAAAAGAGGAGATAGAAAAAGAGAGGGAATGTGCAATCGCGTTCCCGCGGGACCGGATGGAAGGAAAGCCGAAATTGATATGTATTCCATGCCGCGCCGCGTCCAATCTATCGCGGGTCAAGCAGGCGGAATTTTAAGCGCGGTTTGACGTATCGCGTGTATGTATGCGCGCGTGTATTCGCCGGGTGTCGTGATGGAATTTTGTGAGAAACAGAGACCGGTCCCTCTCCTCCCGATTCACATTCAGAAACTTACGAGAGCATAAAGTATTCCGGCGTCTTATATCGTCGTATTCGATAATACGCGCGCGCGCGCGAGCGCGATGCCCTTCTGCAAAAGGGGAGGCGCGCGGTCGCGATGCCCAACAAGGGCTGGGCGGTGGTCATCGTTGGAAAATTGAATTTCGTCCCTGAGGGCCCGTCGGATGAAGTATGCTGACAGTTGGAAAATTTGCGTTTAACCGCTCGCACACGCGACACTAAACGCCCGAATATCCCCGGGAAAATCTTTTCGCGCGTTTTCTCTTTTTTCTTCTTGCTTTTTTTATCAATAACGCGATACGCACGATGATTATTTCGTGAACAAGATGCGCGTGTGATTGAACTTACCGTGAGGCACCCAGCCGTGATGACAGTTCTCGCAGTAACGTAGATGACGTTTACCGGGTGTGAAGGACTCACAGGAGCAGCCGTTTATCGTGCAACGGATGGACTGCAAGCAAAGACAGTGCGTTAATAAGAGATAAAATAAGACTATTAAGTTATAGGAAAAGAGTATTCTGTAATATTACATAATATTTAGGTGGAGTTGTCACAAAGAAACACCTCCTATTTAGCAAGAGAAAATTTTGTCTATTTTTAGTATCCCATATATATCTTGAATAGTTTAGCGCAGATTAAGAAACGATCGCCACGGGCGAACGAAAAATGAACGGCACAAGGGTCCTGGTATTTTAAGTGACCGTTTGGCGTAACGCCACCCCTGAGAAAGCTCGTAAGAGACAGGCTCGTCGGATTTTAAGGAACCGTGAATATTTTCCACCCTTCGGCACAAAATTAAACCCCTGGGAGCCGCCATCCAATACCCGCCCCGGGACGAAGAGAAGAACCGACCTCACGTATCGGTATTATTTTATATATACGAGCGCGCGGCAGAAAACTTTATTCTTCGCGTTGCTGCAAGTTACCTGCAGGTAATACGTACACCTAGGTCGAGATATCGACGTATCTCTTCGCCCCCACGTCTAGGAGAGAAGAAGCGGCATTACACCTCTTGTGTCTATTACAGATTTGAAAGTCTGCCCGCGAGCAACACGAATTTGCACTAAGAAACTTCGCTCTACAATTATCGCGCTAATATGCGTTAGGGAGTCGTCCAAGATTTTATTCCATTCTTCCAAGTCGCTCTTATCATTTTTGTATTCTACAATTTCATTTATTTTTTCAATATTATATTGATAATTAATTTTATCTTATTTTTATGATTCTCAGATTTTTTAATAACATGTCATTGTTACTTTCAAGAATAACATGAAGACTAACAGTCATTATTTTTCTCGTCTTTGAGTTTTATCGATATACTATCGGTTAAGAATTCTTGAAAAGATTAATTTTAGATAACCATTTCTTAATATAAATAAATGTGTACATTTTTTAATTTCTTTCTTCTATCACAATCATTGCGCATTTTCCACGCTGTTCGTAACGAAAACTTAATTTGCCGAAAAACGCTACCCCCAGAGACGTCCGTGCGCGAGTAATAATTTGGAATCAGAGGCAGTTCTGGGGCTGCCAGAGATCCTCGTAAAACGGCGGCGCGTTTATAAAGAAGCGAGAAAAAGGGCTGCGGGAAAATGCGGGGGGTTAAAAAGTTGTTTCGCGGCTATGTAGGCACCGTTGTGTGTCGTCATAACGCTGTTACGGCGTTACACAGCGACGTTAATATAAAGACAAATGAAGCGACGCGGTGCACGCTGTGCCTTCTGCCCTACTCGGCTATGTGTCTTTATATAGACAGTATCCCGTGTGCCATCGTGAGAAACGCATCCGCCGGGAATCTTCTGTCGCGCAAAAGAGCGACAAGCGAGGACGACGCGAGAGACAAAAGTTCGCAAGCGTCGAATTTTATTAGCCGCACCGCGGGTTATTTATTTCGAAACGGCGACAGATTATACGGCAATATTAGCGGCGTAAAAGAAAAGGGAGCGTTATTATGTCGGAATGAGAAACGCGCGCGCTATCTTCTTGCAGACAATTTCCAATTGCTTCGAGATAACGGTAGTTTTGTTAACATTTTTACTATAGGTACTTTTTCCCAAATTTAATTTTCCAATCTCTCTCATTTTCTTTTATTAACACGCAACAATAAGCCTTTTAATATTTCATTAGATCACACATTTTTCTTTTATCATTTGACCTATTCATAAATTGCGCTGAAAGCTTTATCGTAAACATTAATTTAATGAGAGAAATTATTCCTTATTTATTTAAATCATTTATTTCTGATCTATTTAAAAGAAAAATTTAACTATGAATGAATATCGTCTATATAGCTCCAACGTTATGATATCATGCGTAACACTTCCTGGATCTTTCACTTCCGTCTGGCATTGTCATTCTATCTTGCAAGCGTGATAATAGACCGGTCTCACAATGACGAATGCTATTTCTCGAGTTACAGGCAAAGGAGGTGTGTCGTTCGTTCGTTTCAGCTCTTTCTTTCATGATATTCCAAGTCGACTTCTTTTACACAAGTCCGAGTCACACTCCAACTTATCTACCGCCAAGTCTGATTAACGCGTTGCATGCATCGTATGCATTATATTTATACCGGAATCGGGATAATGCAATCCAAAAGATAGGTGATTCCTAGTCGCAAAATAAGTTTATTTACATACATACATGCAAGTCCTATTTTCCAATTATTCAGAATACAACGTTGTTGTGTGTGCACGTAAATATAGTCTGTTGTTTTTTCAGCATACATATTTTAATTGAGATAAAATCGAACAAATAAAAGGTTCATATTCAAAAATAACTACGATAGATTACGCCACTCGTCTTTCATTGTAAATAATTTATAAATAAGATCAGTTAAGAGAAAATCATTTAATGTCAGTAAAAAGAGCAGGAAATTTTTTAGATTTTACATATTAAAATAACTATGTATAACTGACGTATAAAAAATTGTTTCTATTCTTGCTTACGATTTATTACATTATCATTTGATGGTTTGTATACAAGAATCTGTCAATACTTGGCTGTACATGGTGAATTGGCCAGGCTCTCGAGTGTCTCTATCACCTCAACGTCCCCCTTTGCTTTCGCGCGCCGTCTTCTGGTATCGCGCCGCACAGAAGGCAATAACATTTTTACGAGCTACGAAACATTTATTGCCGGCTGTAGGCCGCCACAGGGTTTTATCATCTCGCTCCTTCCTTAATACTCGCTGCTTAAGGATGCACGAGCGTCCCGCGCTCGTATGTACATACACATATTTCTTCGCGGTTGTATGTTTCCCGATTAGGACGATAACGGCTTTGGCAACGTCTTTTTAAAGGCGCCTTCCATTTCTCGACGTGATTAATACTCCGGAAGCGAATCTCTCCAACAACGAGACTTTGTCTCGTCGTTATATAGTGTTTGTTGTTACAATTTTTATCGAGGCGCTTCTCTGGACCTATGGATAACATGCTGCTTCGTCAAAGCTCTTAATATTCTAACATTCTTCTCGATCAAATTTATAATTATTCGCATACATATATATAAACATATAAATAGTCATATATTTATATAAATAGAAGAAATCGTAATATTACATTAATTCAAAAACTATAAAATATGGAAAATATAAAGCAAGAAATATTACTATAATACTATTATTACTATAATAATTTTCACATAAAATTCCTCGTAAATTATTTTTTCTTTCCGAAAAATATTAGATATGTTGACGTCAAATGAATATCCAAGAACACTCGCTGCGTGGACCTGTGTATGCGTTCTCGAGAGAACCGCGTTATACAATACTTTTGCACGTCGAAAGTTGCATTACGCGCTCTCGTATCGCGCAAAAAGCGATTACGGAAACGCGCGCGCACATTGCCAAGGCGTAATTAACGGGGCGCAAGGTGCGCGGTATTCAGGATGCGTGCTTCGACTTTCGGATGCGTTGCGCTTTCCATTGTATCACGGCGCCTAAAAAGCCTCGCGGCGCGCGTGCCGAAATTAGCGTTCGCGGCAGCTGACTTTTTTGTCGAGCGAGGAGAGGGAGGAAAAGAGAGAGCGCCCGCAGCCGCTGTACCTGGTTTGCCTCTGAAAGATGCCTACAAAACAATCGATCGATCTGTCGTACAGATCGTGATCGCACCCCCGCGGCCAAATTTCCGTTCGATTAAGGTTTTCAAAATGCCGATATTTCGCGAAAAGATTTTATCGATGGTGTGCGTAAACATGAATATTTTAATCATAGATTTACCAGTCAATTATCTAGAGATAGTTGAAAATGTATCTGACACATCTGATGTACTGTAATTAAATTTATTTGTCTGGTTTATTATTATTATTATTTTCTTTTTTGACACTTTTTATTACGGTAATATTCATCCACGCATAATTTAAAAAAAGAAATTCATCATTACATACTTTTAAATACAATCATTTCGAAAAGTGGTATAAAGAGGGATTTTCGTTATATCATTATATTGTCATAGATTGTCATTATGATGATACAATCATGCGGGACGTGCATTAAACGATTGAGGAAATACGCTGAAATCAGCTGGAAAGTGCGCGTACGCAACGCGATGATGCGTGTATAATATATGACATGACGTTAGCACACACACGCAATCAGCCCAACCGCGCGTATATGCTCAAGGGACGGACGGAATAATATCGCGACTTATCGCGGTACGATAATTAATTGCGCGCGGATACGGATTACACGAGTTACGCAAAATTTCCATTCAATAACGCCCGCTATCGTGCTAATAATTATTATCAACGTCGAGAGCACAGTTATTAACAGTTTCACAGTGAACCATTGTATTCGCGTGCGTCTCCTCTGACAAACCAATATCGTCTAACAACAAATCAGATCTCTTGACATTACGCTAATTATCATTACTTGGAAACACTGTACAGACGTTCGTTTTGCGTCATTTGTGAGCGATAATGATTATTATTCGAAATAGTTTTGAAAGAAAATAAATAAAGAAAGAAAATAATGAACGAGACTAGGGGGACTAGATATTGACGTTATCGAGCATCTTTTCATTTTATTGTTTAGCAAAGTTTCTTAATTGTTTTTATATTAAATGAGCATGCGTAAATTCAATTTTCAATCTCTCTTTTCTCTATTATAATTTTATTTGTAAATATAATTACATAAAGAAAATTCAATATACATAATATTCAATATATATTTATTAAAGATACTAAAAATTCAAAAAAAGCATTCGAATAATAGCTTTTTTTTTTTTTTTGTAATAGAAAGATATTTCTCGTAGTAAGATAATGTTTTGTAACTCTGAAATAAATTGAGAATTCGTTATGAGTTTATTAACGTTCCTGTATGCTACTCTCCTGCGATTAACACGAGTAGCATCCTGAGATTAACGCGGATAACATTGTTCGGAATCGACCGCAAATTTTGATCGATACAGCAGCTCGATTACAGGAAACGTAAGCGTAACGCGAAAGTGCCGAAAA